GATAGGCCTACATACATTTTGGGTTTCCACGGATATTTCAGTACGAATAAAATAATATGGGAAATGAATACCACGTATAGACTTTAGAGAAAACCAATATTTCGACCTATCCTTAGGTCTTTATCCTTGGTCTTTGTTCATGTATACATTATATAGTATTACTGTATTATATATTGCCAGTTTGTAATAATATGTATATAGGATGCATATGGAACCGAGTTATAATAATGTTTTTTAAGCTTGTATTTGTCTATTCTTTGAACCTGTCGACCCTCAATTGGGTTTTATCCGTTTCAATAATCTATTGCACACACATTCTATTATATGATGAGTTTATCAACGTTTATTGCACGTTTTGAGATAACAAACAGATAAAAGATAAAGATAAAACGCCAATGTTAACTCGGTTGGCGCCAGTATTTTTTCCGACGGAGTTGGTGAGAGGACCCCTCGTCAGCGATATCGATGGAGCGATGTCGATAGTGACAGCACGCATACAATAACGCGCTACAACACAACATCACGACAATTACCTAGACAACAGTGAAGACAAAATTGATGGCAAATACTACAACATTCTAGAGTAATAACCAAGAAGATTACGTTGAAGTCCTCGTTTGGTTTACTCTTTAGTGTTTATTGACTTTCGAGTGTTTAGGCGTACAAGGGACATTAAACCACTCATAATATTATTGATATATTATTATCTGTCTATTCTTTGGACCGCGGTGTTTAATCGGTTTTTATCTACTTTCATAATCTACAATTGCATATATCATAGACTCTTTTTATTATGCATATCCATCGACTGACGATTATCTCATACTTGAAATACACTAATATGTTCAGGCTTCCTCGGTTATGAACGTAAATCACATTTATCAAGAGATGAGATTTAACTTTTAAAATCAAGTGGCGATGTAGCTTGGTAGAAATATTTTGACGTCTCTCTGCGGATAAACCTTTATGCATGCCTGAAGTCCCTTACGGAATAGGCCTATTAGGCCTACGTAAACCTCTCCCTGTAAATTGGCGAGTGTACAGTAATCCTATTTGCGATTGTGTGTGATTTTTTTTTTTTAATAACTGATATCTATCTGGCCAGCAATTATAGACGCAATAAAATACAATAATGACTAAAATGCACATCGAAGTGAAGATCGGTTAGTAAGTATGGTGGTACGTCAATATTTTAGATTGTAGAATCTAGTTATGAATTGATGGCATATCATTAACTCATAGGCCAACAGAAGTGGATTTAATGTATAAAAAGTCAGTGACTTAAGACAATATCACCAAACTCTCCTTTCTAATGAAACGATTTTATCTAGATACTATTAGGTATTATATTAGGTTCGTTAATCAATAAATTCCCTTGATACAATGCGTTACCTTCCTCTTCTCTCATTAATATCTCTCCTTTGCTCCATTAAGAACATACCGTATTATTTATCATTGTGTCCTCTTTATCATGTATTCAATGTGTATGTGCTTATTCTTAATAATTAAATGGTTATATTATTTTTCTTTTGGTATTTTTGTGTACATTATAATCATTTTTTACTTAACATACAACCTTACCTTATGTTACAATAAGATCAGAATAAAGTTATATCAGGGAACAGTGAAATTGTAATCTCACTGTTCCCTGGTTATATTTATAACTACTTACTCATCACGATTCGGTACAGTACTACAGTCGTTTAACTGGAGTTGAGGAAAACTTGAGCGTGCTGTACTTGCATTATTTTGGCCATTCACTAATTTCATTTCTGATTTAAGAGACGTTCCTGTACAGTGAAAAAAAATATTATTATTCTTATAAATTTGTTGTTGTTGAATGTTATCGGCATAGTATCGTATCTAGAAGTATTGACATGGAGTGGGGGATGATGTGCCGACGGTTAATTTTGGGTTGTGATTATAATTTAAAGGTACGTGCTGCTGGTAAAATATGGTGGTAAGTCGTGATTTTTAACTACTTTAGCCTAAAATCATTTTTATTACTACCATTATTATTATCATCACAGCTATTATGACTTTTATTGTTATTAATATTTTGTTTAATATATGAGGAATATTTATGGATAGGCCTACAATATTGGTGAGCGAAGGCATTGAAATGAAGACGGATATCCTGTAACAAATTATTGAAATTATTTCTTACCTTGCATTTTCTGCTTCACACGCAACTTTAACCGATAGTGGGCATGCTTTTTCTGAAAATGATAAGAAGTATAACATTAAAAATCCATCTAACATGCTAGACAGTGGTAAACATCAGATCAATACTTGTGATAACAGTAATGGGAATTAACGGTACTTCATGGTACAGTACAGGAGGCGTACATAAATTTATTGTACCGCCGACGGTTATAATTTCGATTTGTACTTTCAAAATAAACTATGAATAAAAATTAGGCATGAGATATTACACTTACTTAAAGCCAGTAAATGTGGCAAAAACTGCAAGAACCGGCCACTCCAGCAGCACGTAGATTTATATAGTAGAACTATGCAGCGTCAACTGTTTATACTCATTGCAAGAGTTTCGCATTGTTGACCCAAAGAGAATCAATTTTCGTTACCCGTCATTATATTATTTTTTTTTTTTTGTGATCGGCTGCTTATCACAAGAAGCCAATCAAACAGTGGTGGCGTCAGTACGGTACCAAATGTCTGACCTGGGAAAATGATAACTAAAGGGAAAGGGATATTCTAGTCCACGGAACACCCTGATCATCTGGGTATTTCAATGGAAAGAACAGGGATGCTTTTAACAGATTCAGACTCGCATGTAAACATTATTTTTATAAATATGGCAAATATATTTTGAATTACAAAGATATACATAATGTTAAATGCGTTAGGTTTAATGAAAAATAAAAAATTAAATTCACCAGAACTTTGAGGGTTTACATTTTATTATGTCAAAAAATACTTAAAACCAAAATAATTATAATTTTATCATCCATCCAGCGTCAACTTAGGAGGCAGTCTTAACTCAATTATTAACTCTATTTTGATTAT